AATCCTTTAGTCTCCTCAATTACCAAAGTGCAGAGACTGTTTTTGATAAGATACAGGCTCAGGCCATCAATCAGAAGTAATCGGAACCTTCATCAGTTTGAATAATGTGCATGTGTGTGTGTATGTGTGTGTGTGTGTGTGTGTGTGTGTGTTCAGCCCTCTGCAGATTAATATCGCAACTTTCAGGAGTCACAGTGAAACCTTTCTATCTGCTGCCCTCTAGTGGCTGTGTTTAATGCTACATGATCACAGGGTTTGTCAGAGGAAACTACACAGTTAATGCATTTTAAATAAGTAAATACATTTTAATAAACCCTGAATATGTCATATAAAAATATGCAGGCTTAAGGATAAAGGGTGGCATGTGTTGTACAGGCTCAAACATTTTGTTTCGGTGATGCACAAATAGCTAAATCCAGGGCAACCTTTAGAAAATCATAACTGGAAGTGGAATGTGCTCTCTCAGATTATTTCATAGCCACACTGATAAGATGTTGATGGCTCCAAAGATAACTCACAAGTCCTTCTCTGGCCACAGGCTGCCACTCTAAGTCTAATTCTGAAGTTATTACTGTTGATACCAATATTATATACGCTTGTATCACTTAACTTAACTGACCTTTACATAGACTTAGTTTGTTTGATGTGTGTCTTTTTCAAAGTGTACACATTGGTAATGTGGTGTAAATGATTTCCTGCTTACTCTTTTATTATTAACATATTGTTGCTGTTGCCAGGCATTTTAAAAAAGGCACACTGTGGTCATGTTAGTGACCCAAGTAGAACACAAGGTGAACAGACACTCTGCAATAGTCAGTGTTTAAAGGAATACTTCACCCAATAAAATGGATCATTTGTATATAAATTACTCATCCAGTGTTACAAAACTATATCAAAACATTCATTTACAAACTGTCAAACAACTGGTGCAGTATAATCCAAGTCTCATTTATCCAGGCATATGCTCAGTACACCCCAAACACATGCATTTTTGCTCAAACTTTACTGTTTAAAATACTTGTGCATGTGTCCGTGCATGAGACAATTTATGTGGTGTTTTAGATGGTAAGGTTTTGCAAAAAATGCGCGTGTTTGGGAAGTACTGAGCATACGACTGGATAAATTGGACTTGGATTACACCATATGAGTTTTGTGAGAGTTTGCAAACAGATGCTTTGATATAGTTTTACTGGTGTTAAACACAGCTCCTCTTTTCTCCAGATCATCAAGAATTTCTTCGATGTTGGATTCTTCGTTTACCATGGAGAGAAAAGTTTACCTCACAAATTCAATCTAACACTGTTTAATAAATATGTAAATGACTGCACTTTTTTTTAATATATTTTTGTTTCAGGCACAGACTTGCTTTAAATCTTTAGAGACCACTCAAATCAGGAACTGGTTATATATGAAATTAGAAAAGTGAAGGTCACATTAAATTCTTCCGCTGGCAGGTCAGTACAAAGTCATACTGTGCGGTCAAACATAATTCAAGCCCACAGAACTTTATTTTAACTTTAAATCTAGTTAGTAAAAACGTCATGATGTTAGGGGATAGCACACAATATCTTTGTGAATCTGTGAGACAGAGTGGAAATAGATTATGTATTCAACCATGGTTTTTAAAACTGAATGTTAAGAGGTTTAACAATTACAGATTCATCTATTTAAACTATATTTATGTGGTGAGCATGGACTTTTGGCTTTTATTTTATGAACATTTCTGGAGTCTACTTCCTGTGTGGGTTGTTTGCTGCTGTGTTTGCCTGTCTCCAGAGGCTTCTCCCTTCCCCCGCCCTGCACTGAGGCTGAGTGCGCACACCTGTGACTCATCTGCAATCAACGGGCTGTTAAGACTGCCACCGTCTCTAGCCTCAGTGCTAGCCTCAGAGTCTTCGCAACTGCACGCAGTGGTATCTCGGCTCCTCTGATCCTCCAGTGAATTAAGTATCTTGCAAGTTTGATGGTGTTTTTTGCTCCTTGTGTGTTAACCCTCGTTCTCCTGCCTTTTTTGTTCCAGTGTCTCCCTCCGTGCCTCTCAGCAGCCCACAGCCCAGCACTCTCACCTGGTTTCCTCACTCTGCACCTCGACTCCGGATCTCCTCAGTTCTCTGCACAATTCTGACACAATAAACCTGTTAACCCTCTTCCCTCTGTGTCTGCATTTTGGGTCCTATTCCTCACTGCCATCACAATTTAGCCTATATGTAGGGGGCGGCACAGTGACAAAAGCCTGAATGTTCTCCAGGTACTCCAGCTTCCTCCCACAGTCCAAAGACATGCAGGTTAATTGGTGACTCTAAACTGGCTGTAGGTGTGAATGTGAGTGTGAATGGTTGTCTGTCTCTATGTGTCAGCCCTGTGATAGTCTGGTGACCTGTCCAGGGTGTACCCTGCCTCTCGCCCAATGTCAGCTAGGATAGGCTCCAGCCCCCCTGCAACCAATACATCAGTGTATTTCAAAGTATCATAAAGACTTAAATGCCTTAGCTACCCTGTCTGAGGAAGGTCAATTGTAATTGTTAACAATTCCATAATTATAGGCCTATTTTAATTACAAAAGGCCTGTGAAGCTAATAAAATAAAATCATTATTAAAATAAGCTGTTAAACCTACAATATTACGATAGATTTGCTTTTGTATGATGATCTTTTTACTGCCTTTGACCATGTGCTTTGCTGTTTCATTTCTCATTTGTAATTCTTATCTTTCTGTTTTGTTGTTGTAAAAGTGCTGTACTTGTCTCAGTAAGTATCATCGGGGAGAGATAAAGACTGTTCTCCTCCGAAGAGTTATTCTTTGCCCTTTACAAAAAGACAGGCCCGACATGGATCATCTTAACTCAGGGTCACTCTGACCTCTCTTCTCTCTCTCTCAAGCCACTCTCTCATGGGAACGATCATTCATCACGGCTGTCCAAACAGCCAGGTCACCCCATGATTAGTGGCTCTTTTAGGTCAGACGTCTCGGTAGCACATACTAATTCAAATGGTCGTGTGTGTCTGCTTCTGCGTTTGTACATGCACAGATGTTTGTGCATGCTTTAAACACTGTACATCATCCTGTAAGCAGCGGGCTATCAAACCCACGTCTCCGGTGTATTCTCATTTCTCAGGAACCAGGTAGGAGCTCATCAGTTCTTTTCCGCCCCTAACTGGTTTTGTGGATATCAGAGCGGTGACTGACACCACGGCGAAGTCGTCTGGTGGTGTACTCATCTGATCCAATGTTTCCTCCATCTCGGAGGGGAAAGGAGGATGCTAATGACAGTTACAGGTGTGTTTGTGGATGTGTGCGTCTCACAACATGGTGTGTGTGTGTGTGTGTGTGGGTGGGTGGGTGGGTAATGATTAACAGAACAGGACAGTTTCTTCAAGTGCCAGACTCATTATCACTCATATTCTTCTTCAAGATTTATGACTACAAGAAATAAGGCACACACAAACACCTGTCAGTAATATAATGCTTCATCATATTTGATGAATCCAAAGAGTTTCATTTTAGAACATCAGAATTAATATTAATATGAATATCAATGTAGTTTAAAAACATTAGTTTATTGCATTTACCTGACTGTATAAAGATGGACTGGAAGTGTCAGCTGTCGGGTCCTCCTCCTCAGAGTTTGCCATGTTGTTCTATAGCCCTTTCACATATATTAGTCACTACAATGGACAGCCATTTAAAAGCCATTCTCTTGTATACGCATGGGTTTTGATGCTACAGTTGCAATTTAGTCTATATTGGCTATATTTCAGCTACAAATCATAGTATTACTGAAACTTCTTGAAAATACTTCACCTGCAGTGACTTTTTTTGGCTGTAAATCAACTGATTTATGTTATTAGAAGGTAATGTTCAGGTTTTGTAACAGAAACAATATTTTGACAATATTCGTGTTATTTTTGCAGAAAATGTTTATTGGGAAAATTATGTAGTTCAGCAGGAGGAGTTGTGAAGGGGGGGCTGAGGAGGTAGAGAAGGGAGGAGTAGAAAGAGAGAGGGGAGAAGCTCAGGAGTCAGGAGTTAAGTTCAACACTTTTGCATGATATTAAAGAGTATTAGAATTTGTAAAAAAGCACACTAGTTCAACATTAAAATAGATTTCATAGTTTCACATGATTTATATCATTTATTTTTAATGGGTTATATTTTTTTTTAGTTTAAAACTGAAACACATGCTGTCTGCCCGAGTGGACGTGGAAAAAAAAAACTCCTTAAAAAATTAACTTCATTTTCTTTTCATGCCTAAAGAGGAATAAAAACACTTATCAACAAATATCTTGACTGAGGTCATAATAATTCTGAAAGGGAGCCCAGAGTAGAGAAACTAAACACTGGCTTTCATGTTTTCGTGCCGGCCACCGATTTCTCCCACATGCTTGGCACACAGGAGACGTTTAAGTTAGCTGCAATGTTGCAACCTTCACACTAAATCCAACACACCAGACCTTTAACATTTATAGAAACACATATTAAAGCAAATATACACAAAGGGGCAAATAACCAATGAATTATACCAAACTAAGAGTCTACAAATGTCAACTCTTACTCTTACAATAAAATGGAATGCAATTAATTTACACTCAGTGGCCACAGTTGCAATTCAGTAAGACATATTTGTCATGAATGTTACTATTACAAGGCTCATTGTGTTCAGCTTTTGTTGACACTGAAATGTGTAAAAATAATTTTATGTTTATTGCTGAGGTCATAGTTAAAAGTGGTGTTGCACTGGACTACATTATATTGAGAGGTGTTTCAGTTCTTTTTATTCTCCCTATGTGCATATATGAGGAGGGCAGAGTACTGGAAACACATTTCATTACGTACATAGATAAGTTATTTTTCAATTGTCATGCACATAAACATGTCCAGCAGATATGAACACAATCCTGCTCCCTAGACATCACAGCTATAAGACATAACTTAACCACAAACTGTGCAGTCCAGTACAACACCACCCCAACAATGACCACACTGTTAAATATATGATTTTATTAACACCTCTATAAAAACTAAACATTACAGGCATCATGACAGCAGACTTTATAGCAGCAAAGTCGTGTTGAATCATGTTAAATTGTACAGGTGACAGTATGTTTCTCTACTGCAAGAGTAGACTATGTGTATTTGGAATAAAGCGGAGACACATCAATCGCTCCAAACATAAGAACTGAAGGAAATATACCATTCATAAAGGCGCTCTCCTGAAGGTGGCTTACCCACAATGTCACAATTTACATGAACAAAAAGTGCAACTGTCCAGTAACTGTTGTTATAATGATACATGGTGTACAACAATTACCACTATGTTTAAATGAGAAACAGAAAACTTAGATTTGTCAACATCATTTGAGTAATAATAAGGCCAAACGTCTTGACATTGCTGTTCCTGGTTATTTAGTTTTATGATTTTCAAAGGTTGCATTTAATGCCCTCTGTGCTGCTTTCTTCTTCACATAGTCTTGTAGACTGTGCAGCACATACTCTGCATAGAGAACCTTGGAGGGAATTGATTGCAGTAACCAGCCCTGTATGGACACACACACAGACACAGACACAGACACACAGACACACAGACACAGACACAGACACAGACACAGACACACACACACACACACACACACACACACACACACACATAGAATGTGTTTAAAGACAGAATTCTCTAACAGAACTCACAGAGTTCAGTTCTGGAATAGGGACATCTTTGTGACATCAAAGTGCAAATTCTAGTCTCCACAGTAAATAGGCCACAGAGATATCATCTCCACATGCCTACAAACATTTCTACAAGAGACCACTCGCACTAAGAAAACCAGTTTGGAAAGCCCAGAATACCAAAAACAACACCAGTCACCTCAGCTCACCTGAAACTGTTTGAACACAGACAGGTAAGTAAATGCACTTTATAGAAACCTAAGGAGTATACTGTGTCAGAGCTTAGAGATTAATTTGTGCAGTTTAAAAACAGTATGATATAATAATTAATATGAATATGGTGATGAAAATGTTTTTTAGTGAAGGAAATAATGTAAAACTGAAGCAGTGAGTGAGTTTCAGTGTGAGGTAGAGGACAGGTGCTGTCTGTTTATCTGTTGGGCTTTACACAGACACAAGATGAAAACTTTACAGCTATGATATCATATCAAATAATGTACCAGATAAATTATGTTAATGTAAGGCATATTTATTGTAAAATAACAAAAATAAAGCTTCATGTTTTATCAAACAGTGATTTTTTT